CTGCAAAGGACTAAAATTACACAGCAGCTTCTCTACTGAAAACAGGCATGTAAAATAGATCCTCAAACCTTACTAATTTCATATGCTTTAAGAATGCAAAGCTAATCATATAAAAATAAGATTTTTCATATCAGCTATTCAAACACAGCTGCCCAACATTAATAGAAAATCTTTATAACAGATGAACAGTGATATTCAAATCACAAAACCACAGCTATTTCTTGCAAAATAAAAATGGGCAAGAAGTTCATCAAGTAACTCAAAGTAAGTTCAGTCATAAATCTTTTAAGTATGCAGTTTCTAATGATGTTTCAATTATTAAATATGTCCTGTTCAAAACAAGTCCCTCATAATTAGTACGTCCACTTTTTTCACTCTCATCGACTGATTTATGTATAATAGCTACCAAATTATAAAACCAGATTTAGTTCAAACAAGAGTTATGCAAAAAGCATGACTTGGTTGAAATTGGAGGAAGCCAAGTTTTTATATCCTCTATAGTTTTCCTCAATTCCATCAATGGTGCTGATACTCAATCCAATTAATACAACAGTATTTTACTGCAGACCAGAATTAGTCATACTACTGACATATTTCAATCCACATGCAAGACAACATCTGCAAATAGCGCTGATGTGATTTATGAGCTACTTTCATGTTTTTTAAAACATGTTCCCCCAGTCAGAAGCCATGTAACAAATTGAGGAATTAGCTGACCGGTAAGTTAATTCAATCGTTATAGTGAACTAAAGAGCAAAAGTAATTTTGCTTCTCAATTCCTACTTCAGCTTTTAACTGAGAAGCAAGGTCTCCAGTTTCATAAGCATTAGGATCAGTGAGTAATTTTAATGTTATACCATAAGGATGAATGCTTGAATTGTTGGTAATAAAAAGACCACACAATTCTTCTTAACTTATTCATGTGAAAACTTAAAAATCAGAATCAAGCAAAGCAGTCAAGTACTCTTTGATGGAACAGAAAAAACAGATCAGATCAGGTCTGAGATCTAGAGGTGGTTAAGAGGTAAACTAACTAGAGACCAATCATAAAGCAGATGACAGACAAGTATCTTGACAGTGAAACATGCAACTGTTTGCCTACAGTCCACAGCGTTAAAAAAAAGGGGGGGGGGGACAACTACCACTATAGACCATTTATACAGAATGGTCCTTCCTACTTGCAAAAAGGAAGTTGCACTTGTGACTTGCACTGTAGTTGCACCTGCAGAAAAAGTGGTTCTTTCTCAGCATTTTAGAGTCTCTTTTAGAAAGTTTGTCCCTGGTTATCCTTGGTACTTAAATTGAAGATAAGCAGTCAGGGTCTTTTAGACCTAATTCTACATGTGAAGGGCATAAAGCCTCCTACCATTCTACAGGCTGAACCTTACAATATCTAAGTCTTCTCATTGCATTAACATACATTTCAATCATCCCCTGGAGTGATTAGAATGCTTTCTAAAAAATGCATTCAGTTGTTGGTTGATATAGCACAGACTACTGATTCTGCAATGTAACTGTAAACATGGCAGTAATCACATGTATGTTCATGTCTTTCCATTTTAAATCCTTTCTGTTCTGGAACAGCTCTTATAAGTGTGGTAGGAGCAACAGTACAAAATCTATCCCTGAACTTTAGTTAGGAGATGACCATCATTATAAAACTATTTCAATGAATTTTTGAGTGTCATCACAAAAAGCAGGCCAGAGGAGTATGGCAATAATCTCATTAGACTTCATGGAACATCATCTTTCTTGTGAGAAAAAAAATGTGGTGTAAACTAAACAAATTGCTGTCCATGTAAAACACTCAAGAAACTAGTTGCTTGTGCTGTCTTCTAAACTGTATTTAATGACATTGTGAATGGGTGACTCTAGCTTATCACTCCCTCTAACAATGTACTCAGGTGGTTAAGTGTCTAGAAAACTGGAACCACATCAAGACCACAAGAGAGAGAGAGATCAGCGTATTAAGGAAACCTGAGACATACAAAAGCAGAAAACTTCTTCAACCCAAACTGGAATCATCTCCCCACATCCCAAAAGCAGCATAATAAGAACATACTCAGTGGCCACAAAATGTAGGGTGGAAAATAAAATTACAAAACTGGAAAATAAAAACAAAAACTCATGGGAATGAACTATGAGAACGAATTGGCCTGCTTGAGACCAAAGTTTATTATATCCCAGAGCAGATCATGGATGACAGGAAAGAATTCTGAACACAAGCACTCTTGTTAGGGATTGAGGCTACATTTTGCTGCAGTTCCAACTTTGCATATGCATTTCAGCTTAGAACAAAAATCTCAGACTGGACTTCTTCAATTTCACTCATCTCTCACATGCTAACTGAGGAAAACTTATTGTGTTTGAACAAGTGGGTTTGTCCTTGAAAGTTTCACCCTCAATGCTTTCACAAAGCAATTTGCTGACACCAACATTAACCAAGATCTGACATTTTAGTCTGCAATACTACAGAAACCCACCTGATACTATACTTTTCAGATCCTGGTTAAACTAGAACCAGTGGTTGTCCTAATCATTATTAACATCAGTGCCAACAAACTGCTTATTCACCTTCAATAGCTGAAGGAGGTAAAGAGCACAGAGAATTTATTCCAGGAAGCAAGTGTGTAATCCTGAAACTGTCAACTTACTAATAAATGTCAATAAATACAGAAACAGTATTACATTTGCACTACCAGAGAGAATCACTCTTAATACACAAGTACTGAGGATGGTAAAAGCAGAATCAGAAAATACAGCCTTTCCATTAGGATACTTTTGATTCATTATTGAGAAGACATTTTACAATCTATAATGATTAAAGAGTAGTAATTAAGCAATATAGTTCTATAAATTGTCCCTTCACAAGCAGATTTTAAGGATAAATGCAATAATGAGCTTTTCTATGTTTCTTATGCATATTAATATTCATAAACATTTAGTTACACGGGTATTCAAATAGCTTCTTTTCATAACAGAATACAAAGAACCGTATTATCTTCCAGGAAAAAATGCAAATAAAAAAATAAAATAAAATCCAACATTGGAGAAGATAGAATGCCTGCTAAAATTACAACAAAAAATTTAATTATCAAACTAACCAAACTTGGCAACTTGCTTTGTAAAAGAACCATGCATCCCTTTTATGCATATCTCAATCCTGACCGAATCTAGTTTAGGAAATGATCCTATACACCTAGGCATCATTCAAAAACCTATAGAAATGTTTGGATTCCCAGCTATGAATCTGGAGACTGCATTTGGACCCTGGAGCTCAGAATCAGAACTAGACCCCCTCAAAGCAAACACGAAAAGAACTATACCAGTTGCTTGCCAAGGTTGGGAAAGGAAATTCAGAGTGGTGAAGGGAATGGGCAGGAGGCTGAAGTGGCTAAGACACAAAATATCCTGAAGTAATTCCAGTCTCCTTCCCCTTTCCTTTAGAAATGCCATCAATGGCCACCAAAAATGGTCATCTAGCAAAAATGCAGAGCGGGAGGATTAGGAAAACAAAGATCACCTCTGCCTCTCCTTCTAGTCTACTTGGATGCACGTGAGCCTATGAATTTGGAGGTTTATGCACATTTCTATGGGATTCCACCCTAAGAATCTAAGGTGGAATCTAGAATGTAAAATCTAGATTACAATCTAGAATGTAAAAAATTACATGTAGGTGATATACTTTACTTATTATTTAGAAACATTAGTAAATATACATTTAGAACAGCCAAGTCATTATAAACTCAACACTAAGCCTTGTCTCAAACATCTACCTGCAGAATGAAAACCTGCAGTAGAAGAGTTTTCCCTTCGCAGACCCATTCTTCAATCTTAAATAAAAAAGGTGCACAGTTATGTTATGTATTTTTATACTATGGAATTAAAAAGAGTAAACTTATTAAATTTATGCTCTTGCACTGCCTTGTTTTTAAAAAGCACCTAAGTTGAAACTTTAATAGCATGCATTTTATTTAAATTTAGTCAATTAAATCAGAAAGTGCTTATCAACTCATTTTAACTGGTTGACATCCCTAGTTATTACCAAGTAAAAACATACAACCATTCTGAGAGCTTCTCTGCTAAATGAATGGTATATAAAAGCTTTAACCAAAGAAAGAATTGAGGTGTCAGTTGCAAATAAAAATTTGAACTATCAAAATTTAATGAAAAGCTGAATGAAAAAGAAGACCACTTATGTCTTTCTTCTCAGTTTTAAATCAATTAAGCTCTGTCTAAACCTAATTTTAGAAAAATATCCTTGCATTTTAATCATTTAAACACAAAGCATGTATGATGGCTTTGCATTTGTTTTTCCCATCAATATATAAGTGACTTTTCAGTCTATTATACCAAACGTTAAATTGGACTGATCAAAAATTAATTTTGAATGAAGTAATAATGTGTATTTGTATTTATCTTCATAGAATTGTAGGAAGAATTTGATTGGAAACTGCACTGTATAACATTTAACTCCCTGTACAAATCTTTAAAGTTTTACGTAAGGTGGTAATGTTTATATGGTGGTTTGGAATGAAATCCCATCTTGAAAGTGCATCTTTGTGCTGCTAAAACAACAGTGTGCTCGTGAATTTGTGCTACAGCCCTTATTACCTATGAATGCTGTTCATACTTCCATAGCAAGACCTTCACAAAGTCTCATTCGTAATTTTCTCTTAGGTAGCTTTGTCTAACAGGGCAATTTACAGAGAGAAAGATTCTCAGGTATCCACTTATGTATGCACTATAAAAAACACACTGACTAGATATTGTCCTTTTTCAACAGGAGAAACATGCTTTTGATAACATATAGACATTCTTTTCACTACTGTTTTTGATATTATAAATTGTTTGGTAGACAAAGCCTTCCCTGATGATTTAGGTAAGAAGGGCTCAGAAATATTTCTCTTACATGTACAGAGTCTACAAATGAAAGATAGCCTAACTCCTTGATTGAAAAAATACATCTGAAATCATGAATATTTAATGCAGTTACTTACTGCAGGTACCAGTAATTTTTTTACTTCCTCCACAGCCCTCTTCAGTTTGATTTCTGCTCTGTTTTGAGCATCTTCCACAGTGATTAGTACATGCAAGTCTTCATTGAGATGTTCCCAGTTGGGCTTGCCTCTGTTTTGTTCTTCCTATAAAAGAGGGAAAAAAGCAGCAAACACGGGATATTTACTTTCTATTGTTGTAAATCTATTCTTTAGAAATTTGAAGCAATCTCAACCTATTATTTAAAGAGTGACATTTCACTTTTGCTTGTAACTAACACCCATCAATACACATCTTACTGATCGTTCCTTTCAAAAATAGTAGTAGTATCTATGCCATGCCTATGTCATACGAACCAGGTGCCTAAGTTACTTTTAGATAGGGTGGATTTCTTCTAGTAGCAGTAGTTAAGAAGTTTTATAGCTGAGACAGTCTATTCTAGTGATGATAATTAACCAGCAACTTCATTAAAAACTATGGCAGTGACTTCCATATACTCCAGTCTCAAAATTAATTAAAAGAAAAAAAATGTTGGTGGAATCACCCACATGCTAGTCTGTTTTATCTGGTAGGATGCAGGTGTTTCTTTCACAGGTGGCTTTTAGATTAGAACTACATTCCTTGACTATTACAGCAGCTAACCAGAACTCTAATAGAAACATGTGAACACAGATCAAACAAAATCCAAAGTGTCTTCCATTTATAATATGGTTGCTTCATCCACATTGTGGGACATATCTAGATGCCAAACAGTAAACAATATAATAATGTAAAGAATAGAAGAAATAACTGTTTATTTTAAAGAGCAAATTTAGAAAGCACTTTTCCCCATCAGCCCCTTATTTCCAGAAATTTGCATCACAGGTCTTTCTGTAACAGACTTATCTCTTCCTTTTAGAAACTGTTTGAAAGGAGTCAAAGCTGAGTACCAATATATACATACCTTTTCTTAAATATTTTATTCATTATTACAAAAGAATGGAATAATTCAAAGCTGTTCAATTTTCCAGAGAAACAAAAACTAAAATTGCCCCAGGAAAAGATTGCTTTTCTCCAAATACTTCCCAGGCCTTCACATCTCCAAGATGGAGGAAACAGACTCCAGAGCCAGAGTGGCATGGTGGTTATAGTGTTGGACTGGGGACCTGGGTCATAAAATTCACTGGATGACTTTGGGTCAGTGACTTACTCTCAGCCTAACCTTCTCACAAGGCTGTAAGCTGCCTTGAGAAAAAAGGTAAGCTATAAATGTAATGTAGTGATGCTGCCACCGAAGGACTTCATATAGGCGACCAGTCATAAATGCAAATACAAGAGTCCACTAAGAACAAATAAGATCTTTGGCCACAACTGTATTGTATTACCACTGTATTATATTACCAATCTAATAATTTCACATGTCTCAGTACGGTAACCAATATCATATAAGAATGCTGTGAATATATCTCATGTATTCTAAAATATAATTACAAATGAAAAGTGACAGGCATGAAACGATCAAGCCATCACTGCCAATTTAAAGGATTTACACTTACAATTTTAGATACAGGTCGCTAATTTGCCTGAATAAAATTATATTATGTATTTAGATATAGATAGGTAGATGACATACTCAAACATGCTTCTAATTACTTTTTAGATTTATCTTGAACATAAATTTGCTTCATATATTCAAAATTAGCACTCTTCTTTCTAGAGTGAAGTCCTATTTTCTATACATTATAATACATTATATAAAACCTCTGAGGTGCCAATCTTACCGTGACACTAAGAGTTCACTTCTGATCAGGGAGTTGGGGTACCTGTTACTTGTATTCAAGCATCTCACACTTTGCCAATTAAAGTAAGATTACATTACTCTGATCCCAATGCTTCAACACTTTGGAAGCTACCCACTACTAACCAGCCCCATTATTTGTCTTCTTGGATTTGGTACCAAACCTGACTCAAAGACTGATAATCAAAGCTTTGTGCTTCCCACTAAATAACTTTTTTTTTATAAAAAAGTCAAGTCTATAAAATTAGAAGGAATAGAAAATAATCTCAGCATTGTGCACTGCATGAAACTCTTGCCCATCCACCTGTATGATGTCTTTTCTCTAATAGCTTCATTGACACTGCTCATTAACCATGCTGGTAACTTCTTGAATTTCACTGTACCTTTTCTGAACTACAGCATACATTCTTGCTGAGTTTCTATTATGGTAATTTTAAATAACTCCCAAGTTTTCTTAGAAGATTCAACCTTCTTGACTCTGGTTTTCAACTTCATTTTTGCCAATATCTCTTGTTTTTTAAGGAAATCTCCTTTGAAGGCCAATTTAAGATACTGAACTTCCTTATGAGTTTTTCAATAAATATATATGTTATCTATTTTTCTGACCAAAATATGCATCCAACAAACCAATGCAAAAACTACCAATAGTACATTGCGTTATCTTTTGGATGTTCCCTAATTTCACTTGCCATTTTGAAGGTCACCCTCAGCATTTTGGAAAAGGGGACAACAAAACCACAATGTCTTTAAAGCCAGGTATTCCCCCCACCCCCTGCCAAACACAATGATCCTATGGTGGAATCTGTCCCTTTTCAGATTTCTAGTCTGACACTATGCCTCTTTTCTCCAGAATTCTGGCTTACCACTACATCCAAACACAGCCTTTGTAAGAATTTGATGCATGGGTGGGTATTCTAATTCATAGAGAATAAGGCAATCATTGGCTACTAGTCATATTAGCTACACTTAACTCCAGTAAGAAAGGCAGCATGCTTCTATACATTAGCTGGTGGAGTCCATAATTAGTATCACCCTCAGGTCCTACTTGAGGATTTCCCACATACAACTGGTTATGCATTGAATTAACAAAATGCTGGACTAGATAGGCATTTGGTATGCTTCCTGTGGCAGCAGAGTCTATATTTATAGTTTCACTATACACTGTATGAAGAAGTACTTCCTTTTATCTGTCCTAAACGTCTCACCAGTCAGCTTCATGGAATGACCCTGGGTTCTACTATTATAGGAGAGGAAGAAAAGTATCTTCCTCCCTACTTTCTGCACACCATTAAACACTTCCTCACCTTTTTTCTAAGCTGAACAGTCCCAGTTGCCATTGCTGCTCCTCAGACAGAGCTACTCTAGCCCCTTGGATCACTTTTGTTGCTCTTCTCTGTACTTTTTCCAACCCCATAATGACCAGAACTCAACATAATATTCCAAATGCAGTTGCAGCAAAGATTTGCATAAGAGAAGTAAGGTTTTGGTAGTTCTATTTTCTATTCTGTTTGGGGTAGATTAAAAAAAATCATTTTTTTTAAATTTAAATCAAATTTTTAAATTTTTAATTATTTTTTAAATAAAATGCTTTTGGGGAAAGATCTATCTAAAATGTTCTATTTAAGATACACTATAGTCCAAAGGTTATTTATCATGAAATAATGATTAGTTTTTAATTATGTAGCATGAGGCTGTATACTCATGCAATGTTCAGACTGTTTGGTAAATGAATGAGATTAATCCTTTCACAATGTCATGCTCTTCTAGAGGTTTCTTTAAGTTTATTGGGCAATTTTTCTGTCTAGGAGATACTATCACAGATGCTTGGTTTTACAGCTCTCAAAAGTGTGAATTTATTATGTACAGAGATCACACGCCTCTTTTTCACAGCAAACATGTTATAAAAGAAACATACAAAGACCTTAATGTGATTGTTCTTTTGCAAATCTATGTACACAGAATCAACTCCTTACTTCTTAAGTACTAAGTTTCCACAAATTCAATGAACAGAAGATTGTTGAGAGTGGAATAGATCTGCACAAAAAGCTATGTGTGAGGTGGGAGGGGAAAGCAGTAAAAATGAAACTGAATATCCTTGAACAGAATACTTCATCAGGTCTTTGGGTCTTTTTGTGTATAGCCTGAGTTTTATCATTATTCTTTCCCTGGAGAAGAAAATCTATAATGGTAGCAGGCCGTAAAGGAGACCCAGTTTGGAAATATTTTAATGAAGTTCTAACTATGGGTCAGGCATGCAAAAATGCAAATTATGTAGAAAACCATGATTTAAATCTAGTCTTACTTACTAGTGATTTAAATCAAATCTGATTGGAACAAACTTTGCTACCCTTTCACATGCTGGTTTTGTATTTGCAAACACAGCCGTTTCTTTCACATGATACAAAAGTTCTAGAGCATGAAAAGCAACAAGGTTCTGAGGAAGTCCATACAAAGGCCTTGTCAATATGTCACAGCAAGGATCTGGTTCAAAATAATTTCTGGTGTAAAGTGAGGTTCACAGTATGTGAACACCTTTGTCTTAAACATGTTAATCACTTTGAGAAAAATTTATTTCCTGATCCAATATATTTCAACTTCAAAGAAAAATGGTTCTTTGGGGGTGGGGGGAATGCACAGATTTTCATGGCTTTACTAAACTGACAATTCCATAACTGTACATAATTATTGTACAGCCCCTGCCTTTACTCCTAATATGTGCATGCAGTAAATAGTATTGCTCACCACAAGTATTTTGTAATTAAGTGTAACTAGATACTATAGAAGCATAACTTGTAAGCAAAAGTTTACTTCACTATGTTCACACAAAGCAAAGCTGCCTTCAGGCACACTAGAAAGCCTATTAATTTTCTTCACAACCAGAAGAGAGCAATGGCAGTATCACTACTAGATACAAGTATAACTGAGCACTGTCACTGGTGGAAAGGAACCACTACTTTCCATATCAAACAAGACAGGTAATTAACAGCTATTCTGGCATAGTCCCTTATCACCAAAATACACAACACTGCTAAGTTCTCCTCAGTGCCAGTTGCTCTGTTACAACAAAGCACAGCTGATGTTTCAGGGTCACAGTCATTCATTCAATACACAAGCATAAATTTATTTCTTAGACACTATAATTAAACACAAGAAGAATCTAACTCTAATAGTTAGACAGGCTTGCATGTAAATGTGATATTTCCCCCATAAATGATTGCCTTTCATTTTGCAGCTTCAAGTAGCTACAGTTCACTTAGTTTTGATTGCATAGCAATTAGATATGTAAATAAGCCAAAAATGCTTGAAATTTTTAGATTGCTCACAATCAACCCTATTCTTTTTCTTCTGTACATACAAGTGTCCCATTAG